TTTTTGATTGGAAATTTTTTTCTCAAAAAATGGCGGTGTAGCACAAAAAGTTCAGTGACTAAGTGACTTGCACTATAGTAATAGTAGTGCCCAAAAGTGCAAACACATAAAGGTAACACACAAAAGTGTGATCGATTTTTCAATAGTGATATGCAAGAGCGTCCTGACTTTATGACATGGAAAAATGATACCTGAAGGCAAATAAGGTTTCTAGAGTGCAAAAATATAACTTTTGTTAATATGCAAAGGTAGAATAATATAAGGCAGAGATAAAGAAAAGTTGTGCTTTTACGTATTACCAAATAGATGAGGTATCATTTTGGAATTACGTGCTTCATCCTCATATTCGGATGCAATGTACAAAGCCAAGGTACATATTGCCATTTCAGCATTATATACTTCATCTTTGTGATTGAAAAAAAATTGACTGATCGTCTAGGAGATGTGGTAATATTTATAGTGGATAACAAATTGGTAGATAATGATAAAAATCAAAAACCAAAGGAAAATAAAAATTGAAATTGTTTGAAATCAGTGTGATGGTATTAGAGATGTGTACTTTTTTTTTATGAATTGGTTTTCAATCAACACTGTGTGTTTGCCCTCAACAGCATCAAGAAAAAATGGCAGGCATGATATTCTTTAACTTCCAAAAGTTACAATGGGACATAAAGGGGATGGAGCAGGACTGTCAAATGATGGACATGAATGCTTTGTTTTGGAAATATCTTATGAAGATTTTTATAAGTTGCTTCAAGAAATGAGAGACATGTTTATGCTTCTAAGAAAGAAAAGCATGAATTAGGCTATAAGATACCAAAAGAGGGTTTGTGTGTATATGGTTCACAATGTTATGGATTATACACAAAATTTGTTTGAGATGGAGTACATTAAGCCCTTTTATGTAGTTTGAAAAATTGGGTCTATGAAAATTCCTCATGGCGATATCACAAAACTTGCCTTAGTTCTGCAGATGACATGGGCATTTAAAAAAAGAGTCACTTCTGCAAATGAGGTATGGAACAGTTTAGAAAGCCAATATGAAACCATCACAACGTCAGAATCATCTGATGATGGAGATAACTTCATGAAGGCGTCCCCTAACAGTCACCTGTGATGTCACATGATCAATATAGTGACTGCAATAACTATGTAAAATTTATGTGTAACATTTCGATTTTTACTATTAAAATTCAACATAAAAAATTTCCTTCACAAGTGTAACTACTGTTTCTTTTTTAGTAAGATTCACAATCTTTTGCGCAGACGTTCTTTGAGACATTATTTATTTCCCTGCAAAATTTGAACCATTGCTTTATAAGAGAATGGAAAAGGATGGTCGTTTG